CTTGGGCTCCCTGCTTCCGCTGTGCACCTTGTCTGTCCTCAGTATGGCATTCACAGTGACCATTTCTCTAAGTCAGATCCTGTGTCAGCCCTGTCAAAGCTCCCCAGTGGCTCTCCTCTCACTCAGAGTAAAAACCAGAGTTCTTCCAAGGGCAAGCAAAGCCCTAAGTGGCCCACATACCCTCTATCCTCGTCCCCAACTCTTCTTCCCTTTGTTGGCCCTGGTCCAGCCACAGTGGTCCCGTGCTGTTCTGGAAAAGTACCAGCCTGCTTTATTCTCATTTGCTCACCTCTTTCGGAGTGACACTTCTCTCCATAGCCCTATTTAAAATTGCAGACTCATCTCTACCTGGGACCCCTGGTTCTTCTCCCTGCTTTATTCTTCACCTGCTTATGGACTCTATAACCAATATATTTATCTTATTTATTATCTGACTCCCACACGAGAGCAGTTTTTTTTTTTTTTCTTTCTCGGTCACTGGTGGTCACACGTGGCACCTAGTGGACCCTCCATAAATGTTCATTGTATGAATATACTGAGGATGTCGGGAGTGCCTGTCCACAAAGACCAGCAGATTTGTCCCTTAGAGGATACAGGCTGTTCTTGCCAGAGCTGTCGGAGTTTTTTTGGTTTTTGTTTGTTTTGTTTCAAGACAGAAATGTAGGGATTTCTGAGAAATCTTCAGTTTTCACAAAATATTGGTAACTAATTCAATTTTTTAAAAAAAAGATTATGTATTAAAATTTTTTTAAAATCCAGTCATTGGTTGAATTTGACCCACAGGCCCTGATTTGCCTCTATAGGGTACGTTGAACTGGCTTTGCCATCTTCACTGAAGACATGCAAGTTTTCCAAAAATAGTAGCCATAAAATTTACTCCTGAGTTTTTCTTCCTTGTCCATTGGTCCTAGTCCAGAAAGCACGTCCCTAAAATCAAAGCAGCAGAGGAAGGATTAGATACATCTCTGGAGAAGGATGGTGTGGAGAGGGCTTCCCATGCATGGGTTCTCAGATCTGGGGCCTATGTGGGTGCTATCTGGTGGGGGCCAGCACTGGTATTTAAGTGCCCTTAGATGGTTTTCACTGGTCTTCCAGACATGCATCATCTCTTGTCACAGTGCTGGATCCCAAGCAGTCGACCAGGGCAAGACTTGCAGGAAAACACAAACTGAAATGAACTGATAGGCTAAGCCCCTCTGAGTTTGCCCCTTGTAGGCCAAAGCCTGAAAGCATGACCAAACAGGATGCTGGCGAAGGTAAGGGGTAAGAGGCAGCCTCTTACGTTGCTGGCCGAAGGCTAAGTCAGTCCATTTGTAGAGAAGTGGTTTGGCCACACGTATCAAACTTACACATGCGTGTACTCTTTGACAAAAGAATTATGGTTTTTTTTTTAAGATTTTATTCATTTATTTGACAGACAGAGATCACAAGTAGGCAGAGAGGCAGACAGAAAGAGAGGAAAGGAAGCAGGCTCCCTGCTGGGCAGAGAGCCCGATGTGGGGCTCGATCCCAGGACCCTGGGATCATGACCCGAGCCGAAGGCAGAGGCTTTAACCCACTGAGCCACCCAGGCGCCCCAAGAATTATGTTTTAATGAATTTATCCTACACATACATTCATGTATGTTTGAAATGCATTAAGCTGAGGAGTTTTCTCATTGTGACACTGTCTGTCATAACAAAAGCTTGAAAGTAACCTGCAGTGTGTAACGAGGTAAATTATGGTAGAGCCACACAATGAAATGCTACACAGGCATCAAAAATGAGAAATAAAATCTGTATGTGCTGATATGTGAAGTTCTCCTGCATGACTGTTTTATTTATTTTGGAAAGCAGGCTGATAACATCATGGACACCATGCTACCATTTGTAGCCTGAAAGAGAGGACTGTATGTGTATAGCTCTTTATTCTTACATGTATAAGATATCTTTGGCACAACACAGATCAGTCCAGTATCGTTGGTTACCTCTAGGACTGGAACTTAACAAAATCACCAGGAAGAATAAATTGCCAATAAATTTACTTTAATACATTTTTATTTTTAACCATGCACATGTTTACTACATTAAAAAGAAAAAGAAATGTTGTATTATGTGCTTGGAAACCTCTCTAAAGGGTCACCTGGGTGGCTCAGTCAGTTAAGTGTGTGCCTTCAGCTCAGGTCATGATCTCAGGGTCCTGAGATTGAGCCCCGCTTTGAGCTCCCTGCTCGGCAAGAAGTCTGCTTCTCCTTCTCCTTCTGCCCCTCCCCCCTGCTTGTGTGCTCTCCTTCTTTCTTTTGCTCTCTCTAATAAATAAGTAAATTCTTTTTAAAAAGTCCCCCTAAAATAGTATTATAGTATTGTTTATAATAATAAAAAAGGGAAGCAATCTTGTGTGTCAAATAATAAGATATTGGTTAAGTGAAAATTTTACCCTATTTAAGTTCATTGTGATTTTATAAATTTCCAATTCAACTTTTTTGCCTTTTTCACTCTTGATTAAACATATTGCCTGTACCTTCATGTTGGAATAGCTCCATTCTTCAGAACTTTTTAGTGTTGTTTTGTTTTTCCAGGCCTTTGTCAGAAGAGTCTTTTCTTCTTTTTTGTTTTGATGAGGGGTGGTAACATTTTGTTGAAGAAAGTAATGATAGCTTTAATAATAATGATGACTTAGAGCCAACAAAAAAATTAGAGTAATCAAGCCGACAAGCTTGATTCTTTTGGGTTAGATGGCTTAATAGATGGCATAACCTTTAATTGATTAAGACATTAATATTATATGCTTTTCTTCAGGTCTTATTAGATAATGAGGCATAGAGAGAAATTTGTACTATTTCACATAGGTTGAAATAACTTTCTCTTCCTCTCTGATTCTGGAATTCTAAATTAGCTTTTTATTGAAACACCATACATTCTCTTTTCCCTGAAAACACATTCTAAAAAGTGACTTAATTTTGCTTTACCCTTATTGGCCCAAATCCAGCAATCACTAGCATTATTTGACATCTAAACTTGGACAGAACCCTTTTCTTTATTAGTTTTTCTTCCAAATAAAACAAATTGGTGGGATGTTGAGTACTTGGGATGGTATTAGGCATGCAAGAAATTATAATTGTGTTTATGTGTGATACATAATTTCTGTCATAACATGCATTTACTCTTACTTCTGTAGAGAATTTGCCTTTCTTTCCCAGTATATGTAACTGTGATTTAAAAAAAATTAGCAGACAGATGCTAATTTGTGGAAATTTTTTACCTTTCCCTGGCAAAATAAGAGTTAAAAATAAGAATAAGGTAGAGGATTTTTTTTGAAGTTTGTGTGTTCAATTTGAAGAATTTATCCTAATTCTAAAATTTTGTTAAAATAGATGTCAAGATAATTTCTCTTATAAAATTGCAGGTGATCAATATTCTTAATTTCATTTTACCAGTTGGTAAAATATGTTCCTCTAGTAGATGAGGAACAGAAGCTAGATCCTGGAGCTGATCACATAAGCTCTGAAATCATTCAAGTCTGAAATCCCCATGATACCTGTATCACACAGTGTGCATTTTCATCAATTTTAAATATTGGGGATCCCAATGGAATATTGTCTTAGCCTGCCATAACAAAATACCAGAGATTGTGTGCCTTAAAACACAGAAATTTATCTCCTCACCTTTCTGGAGTCTGGAAGTCTGAGATCGGGGTGCCAGCATGGTTGGGTTCTGGTGAAGGACCTCTTCCTGCCTTGAGACAGCTGCTTCTCATTGTTTTCTCACATGGTGGAGAAAGACGGCAAGTTCTCTGGCATCTCTTTTTATAAGGGTACCCATCTCTTCATGAAGGCCCCACTCTCATGACTTAATTGAACCTTAATTACCTCCCACAGACCCCGTCTACAAATACCCATCACACTGGGGGTTAGGACTTCAACATATGAATTTTGAATGGACACAGGCATTCAGCCCATTGCAAGTGTTGTTATGTTATTAGGATGATGTTGGGCTAGGGACCCAGAAAAATTCAAATCCTTCCTTAATTAAGCGACCACTAAATTTTGGGAACAATAGTAAAACAAGGCAAATAACACTATCATAAACAGACTTTGAAGTCTCAAACCCCAGAGCAAAACTCTGCTAAGCTAAGTAGTTAGGACAGGAGAACTCAATCGCTTTAAGTGGCTGGCTTCACTGAACTGCAACAGAGGTTGGAAATCACAGCCCATGAATGAAGAATGGCTTTTGCATTTCAAAGAGTCGAAAAAATCAAAAGATTTTGTAGCATCTGAAAATTAAATGAAATGCAGATTTTAGTCTCCATAAATAAAGTTTTATTGAAACACAGCCACACCCATTTGTTCACACATTGTTCTAAGTTTTGTACTATAATGGCAGACTTGTATTGTGGCAACAGAGCCTGAAAGATTTACTCTCTGACCCTTTAGAGAAAAAGTTTGCCAATTCTGATCTGCAAACAAAGCTGACTGATGATTCGTTTTACCAATTCCCAAGACTAAATCTTAGCTGAAAATGTCATTGCACGAGGATGCAGTCATACCCATCAACACTAGAAGAAATGGATCCAGAGACAGAGTATTTACCTCAAAGCCTGGCATGAGCTGGTCTAGAGATTGTCCACTTCAATTTGTCTAATGCCAGACCCTCCTGTTCCAAGAGAAAACTAAGAGAGAAAGACAGATGGCTTCACTGGAGAATAAAAGAAGAGAGAGTCTCAGTCCTTGAGCTGATATGGTCACTCCTTTGAAATTTCAACCCTTACCAAATATACTGTAGGGTCCTGGAATTGAACCATCCTGAATTAAGAATTATTTTCCTTTGAGTCTCTACCCATCGCTTAATATTATCCCTGAAGTCAAGGGAGATGGGAGGAATGGAAGCTAAGAGCATGGTACCCTTTCTAGAATTCGACATCGACCACTGAAGTCGGTGGCGCTGTTGATATATCAGGCTACTTCCTTTGTTTCTGATTTGTTTTCATTTTGTTTTCTCCCTCCTTCCTGCAAACACACAAAGGTGATTCTAAAGGATGTGGATTCACTCCTCTACGTGGACACGGATGTTCTCTTCCTGAGACCCGTTGATGACATCTGGAAGCTTCTGAGGCAATTTAATGCCACACAGCTTGCAGCCATGGCCCCCGAGCACGAAATCCCCAAGATTGGCTGGTATAGTCGCTTTGCTCGGCACCCTTTCTACGGCTCTGCAGGAGTTAATTCAGGAGTCATGCTGATGAATTTAACTCGCATAAGAAGTACCCAGTTTAAGGTAAGGAAATACTTTATATTTCGTGTTTAAAAATTGGGATTTTTAGTCATTTCAACAGTGATGTTCCCAGGTTGTCAGTGTATTGATTTTGGAAATAGGTGGATTGTCAGTGAGAATGACAGGAGACAGGGAAGAGGAAAATATTTGGAACATTATGAAATATTTGTTCAGGAAAAGTCCAGGTGGTTATGGAATTTAAAGCTTCACCAGAGTTGCTCTTCAGGAATGCTATGTTGCATTTCTGAATTCTATAATGTTGGAACTCTGTGTATACCCAAAGCTTCAAAAACCATGGGAAATTTTGTGGAATTTTCCTCAGGATATATTTATATAAGTATACAGAGATTTGTACAAGGCTGCTCATGGCCTCATCTTTTATCCTAGTAAAGAACTGGAAAGAGCCCAAATGAACATGAGTAGAGAACCGTCAAAAAATTTTTTTGAAAAAACTCCTCCTCCTATTAAGAATTAGATCAATCTATGAGTAAGAGAAATAAGATCTCTAAACAATATTGAGGGGGAAAAGTGAAAATGCAACAAAGCATGGTACCATGAAGTGTGATCTCTTTCATGGCTTAGAAATTTCCGGAAAAATACCTAAGAGAATACCTAATTGTTAACTGTGGATATTTCTGGGGAAAGTGGGGGTGGAGATGGAAGGAGGATGGAGGAAGAATATTTTTACTTTTTAATTTTATCTTTGTGTGCTGTTTGAATATTTAGTCTATGAATGTGTTGCTTTTATTTTAAAAGCAAATTATATTAAGACAAGGAAAAGGTGTTTTTCCTTAGATACTTTAAATCTGCTATCTGTACTTTGTTCCTTCACTTCTGAGGCAAGAATTAAGCATGAGAAGAAGAGGTTCAATTTGGGCACAGTTTTCTTAGTAGAAATGATAGCACCAGCTACTGGTTCCTGGTCCCTCTTGTATCCATGTGTTATCCATCCTGCAAAACTCTATGGTTTCCAGTTCTAGTTTTGTTTTGTCCTATGTCTTGAGGCCAGCAGGACCCCTGCTGTATTTGCTTCATTCCTGGAGGGTTTGGGGGAACCAGTTCCTCTCCATCATTTCTCAGGGGATAGGATGTATTTGCTTTGCCTCAACCCCTCTGATGGTTTTCTCTTTTGCAGAACAGCATGATTCCAACAGGCTTGGCTTGGGAGGACATGTTGTACCCTCTGTACCAGAAGTACAAGAATGCCATCACGTGGGGAGACCAGGATTTATTAAATATTATTTTTTATTTCAATCCAGGTAGGCTCTCTTGTGAGAATGCTGTTTGTGTAGGAGTCCGCCCACCGCACCGCCCAAAGCACATTCCAGCCCGGTCTGTGACTGACTGAGCCGGAATTGTGCCTGGGTTCCCCTGTGAAGTGTGCCCTTTCATTCACACACACCACAACCCGCCCCACCCCACTCCCCCGCCCCTGCCTCACCCCCCTGGGGTGGCCCTCATGCTGCTGACACAAAAGGCCAAATGTTGCAACCTCCAACACTGGACTCCATTTTTGGAGAATATCTCTTCGAGTTTGGCCACACCATTCTTCTAAGAAGTGTGGTCAGAATTAATGGCAGGGCACAGAACTGAATGCCAGCTTTGTAAGCTAGACAGGAGGCCTTCCATGGCTAAACAATTGCTAGACTGAAGGGAATTGATTCCTGGAATCCCTATGGTTAAGTGACTTGTTCAGGGTTCAGTGAGCCTAGAATAAGGACTTAGATTCCCCAATGCCTTTTTCTTTTTAGGTGAGGCAAAAAAAAAAAAAAAAAAAAAAATCCTTATATTGTATCAGTGATTTGGTGGAGTTGGGGGGAGGAAGGGAGATGAAAATTTCTGATCTGTATTTTTTGTTGTTGACACCTAAAACTAATAAAATTTCCTCTTTTCTTTCTTCTTTGCTAAAACCTTATTTAATGTTGCTAAAATCAAAACCATGTCTTCTAGAGGAAGATCTTTGGCGGGGGATGGGGGGAGCACTCATTACCCAGACCTGAGTTCATTTCTTTGTCTTTACAAAATCCTAAAATAGAAACTCCTGTCTGTAAAGGCTTCCACCTATGATATAACCTGTCACTTGGGTAGCACCTACTATGTACTTGAATTTTTTTTTTTAAACAAAACTCTGAAATAAAACCTAATCCCATAGGTCTTTGGATCTAGGAGGAGCAAATCCTGGGAAAGAAAAAAAAAAAAGCAGATCTAAAGAGTTCCTGGGGAAATTCCCACTACGAATTCATTAGATTCAAAGTCTTGGCTATTTGCTGGTGGCATGTTTTAATCCATTTCCCTCTGACAGTAACAGGAACTTTAAGGTTCCTGGTAAGGAACTGTTAAGGTGCCTCCTCCTTTTTCTTCCTAGGCAGATTTCATCTTTTTTCTAGGTGTAGATGGATTGGTTAGGACTCTTGGCTGCATGTAAAAGACCCCCGGAGTTAGTCCAAGTACAAAGCGTACTTTTTTTTTTTTTTTAAGATTTATTTATTTATTTGACAGACAGACATCACAAATAGCCAGAGAGGCAGGCAGAGAGAGAGGGGGAAGCAGGCTCCCCGCTGAGCAGAGAGCCCGACGCAGGGCCCAGTCCCAGGACCCCGAGACCATGACCCGAGCCGAAGGCAGAGGCTCAACCCACTGAGCCACCCGGGTGCTCCCAAAGCATACTTTTTTATTAGCAAACTGGTGTCTGCTAGAAACTGAGGCAGGAAGGCCAGCAGGTTGGGCCCGGGACCTGAGGCAGGAGAGGGAGAATGAGGAGGAGGCCAGCGTGGGCCTGCTTTCTCCCACGGACATTGCTTATTCCCCTCTCTGTGGACCTCCTTCTCTGCTCCTCAAAGTACCACACGTTTCATACTCCAGATTGCGCCATGTGCCAAGATGAACTCCAGCCACGTTCCGAATTCCTCCGGGGGGAGAAACCAGATGGTTCCGGTGTGGGTCAGCTAGGTCAGGAGCGCGCCGCTAAGAAATAATGGCTGACGTTTATTATTGACTCAGTGCCAGGTGCCGGTCTAAGCATTATCTTCTTTAATCCTCACAACCACCCTGAGAATATAATCCCCATTTTACCGACAAACATGCCAAGGGAAAGAGAGTTCGGTCATTTGCTGCACTGCTAGCGAGTGACGGAGCAGGGGTACAAACCCAGACCGCTCTGACATCTGCCCTCTGGGTTTGGGGGAGAGGGGAAGTTCTAAGAGAGGGGCAGTCCTAGAGAGCTGTCGGGGACATCCCAAAATGTATCTCTGCACTGAATTATTTGTCCTTTACATATTGCATTTTCCCCTCTCTTATGTGGCTAAAACTATCTTTTAGAAGCCCATCTGGACATATTCCCAAGCAGGAATTCTAAAGATGCGCACAGTTTCCTCCCCACAAATCCTCTTAGCCTGTTGCAGATTATTTGAGGACGTGATCAGTGAGTAAATAATACTTGAAGGCAGTTGTAAGCAGCTTTGCAATTAGACAGGAGCCCGTCTTTAATTGGAGCTGAAAACCAGCTGAGTTTGTTGGCTTCTGTACACCCCATCTTAAATCCGTTGAGTACTCGAATCTCATCGAATACTTTGAAGTTGTTCTAAACCCTGGTTCTGAAGAGTACCAATAACCAAGTTTTCTGGCTTTCGATCGGCGAATTCTTAGGTGACTCCTTGATGGTTCTTTGTGTGACCTGCATTCGGTCGTCCTTTCTCATACTTCATTAAATACGAGATCTTTGAATTAAAACCCATTGATACCCTTCACATGATAAGCTCTTTCTTTGTTTATATTGTGATCACTTTCTATTAGCCAAAAAAATATTTAGAAAAAAGATTGGTCATTTTTATCCCTAGAAAGGATGGAGGGAGAGGTGGGAGAGGAGATTGGCCTGGAGAAGGGAGATAAACATGCTTATTGTTGGGCGCCTGGGTGGCTCAGTGGGTTAAGCCGCTGCCTTCAGCTCAGGTCATGATCTCAGGGTCCTGGGATCGAGTCCCACATCGGGCTCTCTGCTCGACAGGGAGCCTGCTTCTCTCTCTCTCTCTCTCTCTGCCTGCCTCTCTGTCTACTTGTGATCTCTCTCTGTCAAATAAATAATAAATAAAATTAAAAAAAAAAAAACATGCTTATTGTTATGGTCCTTTGGGTTGCCGTGATCAAAGAAGCAATGCACAAGGGGCACCTGGGTGGCTCAGTGGGTTAAGCATCTGCCTTTGGCTCAGGTCATGACCCCAGGGTCCTGGGATCAAGCCCCACATTGAGCCCCTTCTCCCTCTGCCTGCTGCTCCCCTCCTGCTTATTCCCCCTCTCCATCTCTCTCTCTCTCTCTCTCTCTCTCTCTCTCTCTCTAACAAATAAATAAAATCTTAAAAAAAAAAAAAGGCAATGCACAAAAAACCTGAGCACATGTCTGGAGTGGTATGATTATTATTATAGCCTCCTGTAACCAATAATCAACTTTTAAAAATAAAAGTCATTAGTTTAAAAATATTTTAAAATTCTTGCCATAATTAGATAGTAAATTTCTGTGGGTATGTAATTGTAGAGCTGGGTACTAGACAGGAGAAGAGAGCTAAAGCTCAGGAGGGACACGCAGGTCCCTCAGCCTACAGGACATTTCCTGGCAGGTGAGCCAAGGTAGCTCCTTGTGGAAGACAGAGCTCACAGCTCTGCCTATAAATTCAAGTTGAGAGCAGAATTCTCTAGAAAGGGTAGATTTGACCGAAGCCACAAGAGCATGCTACACAGAAAGATATGCTTTGATTAATGTGTTTAGGTTTCAGGGAGCAAAACTCAGGCCAGCTAAGGAAGGTACCAGGGGGCGGCCCTGGGAACACACAGTTCACATCATCCTAGGCCTCCTGGGAACTAGCTTTGAGAAACTGCTAAGGACCAAAGCTGACCTCTCCCTCCCTCAGAGGCCCCATGGCCTCTGCCATCCTTGCCCCCTCCACGCCTACCTGATTCCGTTCTGTTTCTCAGCATTCTGTTTCACGTGGCCCAACCCTGAGCCTACACCGCCTTACAGACCCACAGCCAATGATGAAGCATGTTTGGTAACAGCCCCCTTTATTTCCTAATTCATATTTTTGAAGAGAGAGAGAGAGACGTGCCTAGCCCAACCTAGAAAATGATTTCTCTTTGGATGGGAGACTACCCATGATCTGGTCATCCGGAGCCAGAAGAGCAAGGCCACTCTCTCTCTCTATCTACCCCACTCTCCTTCTCTCCACCCCCACCCACATGCTTTTGCATGCAGTCCTACAGCTCCGTCTGCTCCTGACTCCCACTCACCCGGTCAGACCATATCCTATGGACCTGAGTCTGGGGATCCAGGAGCAGAAAGGAGCCCAGGCGGTGATGTTGGCGGTGTTGGCAGCTGTGCTGAAAAGCTGACATTAATTAGTGCCTACCTGTCAGAGTCCAGGAGCTGCCCCACTTCCTGATTGGGTTCAGCATTACCTCTGATTTTTATGACCTAGTCCCTCTCTTTCCAAAGGGAAAATTCTTTTCCTTCTTTTTTTTTTCTTCTTCAAGCTGGAATCAAAGTTAGTTACTTGCAATCCAACATAGATACATATTTCTTGAATATTTTAGGTCAAAGCAGTCTATTTATATGACAACTTTGCTGCTGTTATCTTACCCCTTTGAAGAGACTGAATTTATCCCAGCAAAATTAAATAGCTTATCTTTCATAAAGCACATGCTGATTTCCAAACTCTTCACCAGGATCAGGCCATTTTCTCCTCCTTGAATCCTCCTCCAGTCCTCCGTTTTTGAATGTCAAAATCCCATCCTTAGTCTGTAAATCTGAGTTTAGATGAAATATCGTTTCTATGAACCCTGATAAAAACCCTGATAAAAAAAAAATGTTCATTTTAACTCAACTACATACTGTCTCCCTTACAAGAGTATAAATTCCCCAAGAGCAGGAGCAGAGCCTTATCATCCAGCAACACCAATGTCTTGCATTGTGTGAATGAATTCTTCTTTCAATTACATGCTCAATGTATTTTGTGTTTCTTCCTCTGAGAAATCCTGAAGGGGGTTGTAAAGATGTGAATTGAATTCTGTCTGGAATCTAGTTTCATATTTGAGATTCAACAGCTGGGTTTTAGCTGGTCTTTAGGAAATCGATAAACCCCTAAACTTATGAGCAAACATTCTTAGATATGCCCAGTTGTACCTTTCCAATGATAAGGTCTAAGGCTTTCATTAGACTCTGAGAGAGATCTGTGATCCATAAAAGGTTAAGAATGTCTGGCCACCTGCTTGTCTGGAAACAACTGGAGTAAAACATTTATTACCAAGGTACTGTGTGTCGAGAACTATGCTAAGCTCATTCCCTTTATTTTGTTTTATTCTTCCAGTGACCTAATGCAATAGTTCTTATAACAATAACAATGCTCACAGTCATGATTACAGCTTACAGTTACTACATGCTTCCTATGTGTCATGTACTGTTCCAAATACTTGTATTTATAAGTTCACTTAGTACTGCCCAGAATCCTACTGGACAAGATATTTACAGTCCTTCTCCATTCACAGATGATGAAACTCAGACTCAGAAATATTACGTAATAATTTGGCTGAGTTCATGCAAGTAGTGGCAGTTTTATCATTCAAAGCCACTGGGTTGACTCCAAGGGTACCTGGGTGGCTCAGTCAAAGCCAGTGGGTTGACTCCAGAGCTGGCTCCCTCAGCCGTTTCACTATTAGCATAATAAAGCTGGAGTTCAACCCCAGATAATTTGGCATGTTTTTACTAATTCTAAATTGAGGTCCAGGTAACTCATCAAGGTCATGGATCTAGGAGATGGTGGGAGCCAACTTTGAACATACATCTGTCTGATTTCAAAGCCTTTCTATTTCATCATCTGCCTTGGAGGGCCCTCACTGGGCGGGGTCCTCTAAGGAGGCTTCAAAGAAAGGGAAGGTTTCCTTTGCCCCGGGGTCCTGCACTATCTGTGAAGAGGTGCAAACCTCCATCACCAATCTCAGATGCTACAAAGGCAGGAACCAGACTTTCTTTGTCCACTGCGTATTTAGCCCGCACTCAATAAATATTTGTTGATTCAATCAGCATATTTACGAAAACAGAGATGGATTCTAGGGCAATTCACTCAGCAGGGAACATTAGCAGGTGCTTAAGCAGGGATTCAATTGCAAATACCAAGGCAGGTATCATAACTGAGCGAAGTGATTCAGGAGGTTACGAAAGGCCACCACTGGTCTGAGGTCAGACGCAGTTTAAAAGCACACAAGCACTTTTAGATATCTTCCCTCATAAAATCCTCATGCCCACCCCCTGCACTGGAGTGCAGAAAAATCACCCGAATCCAAGAGGAGTTTAATTGTAGATAATGTGACTTCAGGATGAACACTGCTCTCTCCCAGCTACGGGAGATTATATTTGTGCAAGTGTGGAAGCGAAGGCAGGTTAAGAGCAGCATCGCGGTGGGAAGGGGTTCTCCTGAGAAAAGGAAGAGGACAATCTCTCAGGATGTCATGAATGATTAGGAATTGGAGGGTGCCTGGGTTTCACCATGGCCCGTTAAGACTGAGTGGTAGAATTACTACCCGCAGGCCACCAGAAGGGATGTGTGATGATCTCTCCCTTGTTTGCTTTCCATCTCAAAGCTCTCTGGAAGCTGTCTCTAAGTAGTGGTCCTTTCCATGAGAGGGGATAGCCATCAATGCAACCCACAAACACACCTCCGTTTTCCTTTTCTGACAATGGTCATTGATTTGCTCTAATGCTTCTGTGTTCTCACAGGAGGCCTTTCTCGGGAACAGTGACACACACTCAGAGAACTCTGATCCCTGCTGCCCTTGCCCCAGCCCTTAAAGGCCTCAAGCTGAGGAGCCAGGAAGCTCAGGGGTCATGAATTTGTTGCTAATTTTGTAATCCTAGCCGTCCAACAGGATCAGAGCCAAGTTTCTCAACCTTGGCACTACGACTCTTGCGGAGGCTGCCCTGTTCATTCTGGAATGTGTAGGCTATCTCCGGTCTCCACCCACTAGAGACCAGTAGCGGCCTCCTCCATGTATGACAACAGTGTCTCCCTCCAGACATTGAGGAATGGCCCCCCCAGGGAGGCTCCCAATGAAGAACCGCCAGATTAGAGATACACGTACAAGAACACAAGTGTGCGCATGCTTACCCACAATGTGTGCAGTCTCCCTGACACAGATACTTCTTTCCTTCTTTGCTCTGTGGGGGTGGGGGGGTGCCTCCCTTTTACTGTTGTAGTTTTTTGTTTGTTTTTTCCTTCATTTTGATTTTATTGGTTGGTTTTTAATCCAAAGATGAACCTTTGCTTCAATCTTCATTGCAATTTTCCAAGTCTGTCTGTTTCATAAAACCTTCCCCAGCAGTTGATTATAAGTGCTAACACTGCTGACCACCACCGTGTGTTTGGCCTTCGGCAGAGCATTTTACCCGTGTTTTTAAAATCTAGTCATCACGATTAGAGGGAGTTCTTGTCCTATCCATATTACAGACGAGAAAAGTGAAGCATGGGGAGGATGAATGGCTGGGCCTAGGTTGTGGTGTTTTTTTGTGAGAGAGTGGGGATTTGGACCCAGGCTGTCTGCTGACCTTGTTGGCCTCCTTGTCCCTGATGCTTTGCCCTCCTTTTGGGGGGTAAAACCTACAGCATCACGAGTATGTGCCCCTTCAGTTCCTGATCTCAGAATACAGACAAAATATGGTGAAGGTTGGGCAGTGAGTCCCAGTCACACTCACAAGCACTGAAATCACATGTGGCGTGCAGTTTTGGGAACACGGGTTTAAGCCCCAGGCACACAGAGGAGAGCGGGCACTGACTGCAGACACATATTTCTCTTGTCCCCACCAGAGTGTCTATATGTGTTCCCCTGCCAGTGGAACTACCGCCCTGATCACTGCATGTACGGAAGTAACTGCAAAGAAGCTGAGCGGGAAGGCGTGTCTGTCCTGCACGGGAACCGAGGTGTCTACCATGATGATAAGCAACCCACTTTCAAAGCGCTCTATGAAGCAATACGGGATGTAAGTGTGCTCCTCCCCCGCCACCCCCATGGAGCAGACGCATGCGTACTCCACATGGAACAGGACAGGTGCATTTGTCCGTAGCACCTTGGAAGGCCAAAGAATTCCCCCAAAGCATTGAGTTCCACCCCTGTCCCCAATCTCAGGCACCACTTCACTGTATCCACTTGCTCTCTCATATTATGGCCACTCTTAATCTTTACAAGTAAGTCATTCATTTTGAGGGGGGTGGGGGGCGTTAAGTAAGTTCATTTAAGGAGGACGTGAAAGACCCAGAAAGAAATCTGGTGTTGTTTGCCATAGCAGAGGGGAATGTGTTAGGGTAAAGGTCAAAAAATAAGAACAAAATGATACTATTCAACTCAAGCTGAGTGGGTTGCCTGGTTGCCAGCCTCCTGTTGAGCAATCCAGTGTGGAGGTGGTCAATTAGGACCAGGGATCAAACTAAAAGTAAAAATCAAGTCTTTATTATACATACTGCAGCGATGCAAAAAGAGGCACCCGCTCCCCTGTGTTGTGTCCATACCCTACAAAGAGTACTGGTCAACAGGCAGAGATCGTCTCAAGGCTCCTGCATCCTTGTGGACCTGTAGGCCAGGGGAGGGGGAAGGAGGGAGCAGTAGAAAGGTACCCCTCCTTTCCCAGGAAGCCTCCAAATGGAGGTGTCTGGGATATGCATTTGATATGCATTTGAAGGCAGATACGCATTTGAACGTGGCTGGCCGGGGGTAGGGGTCTGAGTTCTTGACCCTGTACCAAATCTGGTGTCAGGAGGGCAGCTCCCCATCCCTCCAGAGGACTGCCAGCAGCCTTGTCATTACCCATAGTTGAGTCTGAAAGACCATACATAGGATTTTGGCCTGGAGCTGGACTTCTCACAGTCTCAGGTTCCCGGTTACTGCCTTGGAGAAATTGATTAGCGAAGTGTTGAGACATTAAAGACGCCTGGGAACTATCTTCTTGCAGTAAATGGGAAGGTTGAAAGAAACTTACTTTGGGGCTTACTGCCTAAAATGACAGATATTGCCGGCTCTTGCCTTTCATCCCACACTTGGGGAAATGTTGCTTTCCACATTGCTTTTTACCTTGAGATCACTAGGGGGAACCAGCGACAGAGATTCAAGGATGTCCCTTTTGAAACGATAATTCCAAGACCTAGAGTAGGGGTCAGCAAACTTGGCCAGATCTACCTTGCTGCCTGTGTTTGTAAGACATGTGGGCTGGGAACAGGTTTGTAAATCATTGGGGGAAAAAAGGATATTTCATGACATGAAAAAATTATAAGCAATTCAAATTTCAGCAGTCATAAATAAAGTCATGTCGGGACACAGTGACACCCATTCATTTGTGTGTTGGTCTGTGGCTGCTTTCAAGCCACAATGGCAGAGATGAGTATTTATAACAAACTGTGTGGCCCACAGTGTTTAACATATTTACAGTCTAGCCCTTTATAGAACAGATTTGCTGACCCCACACATAAAGTATGTAGACTTTGTTAGAGGTATTTTTCTTAAAAACCCACAAACCCTCGGAGTTTCACAAATGGGCTTTGGCGGAAGCGAATCCCGAGACATAGGAACACATTTTTTTCTGTGTGAAAAATGTGCAGCTTCCTAAGGAGAGTCGCTAGAATTCCCAGAATTTTCTCTGCAGGGAATGAGTTTAGCCTGCATGTAAGCTAACACCGTTTTTTTCTCCTACATTTCCTGCTGTTGGTTTTCAAAGACCAGGTGATTTAATTACACAGAAAATTTGTTCTGTACTTAGCGATAGCATCACTTCAGATATTCAAACCCTGACTCTGGGGCAGAACCATTCAGGAGTACAAACAGAAGTGAGATGAGTTTGCCGCAGTCCGTCAGAGGTGCGTTGGGTTTCTTCTGAGATCTGTCAGCCCTAGTCTGGAATTGAGCAACTGTGGTTCTTGAGTTACCCTGAGTCTTGTTTGCTTTCTGGAGGAGCAGAGAGAAAGCCAAATAATTGGGTCATAAATGATCCTGCCAAATACACCCAGTGACGATCCTCACGTGGGCCTACAAGGACCATTTTCTTTGAGGCGTTTCAATCAAGAATATGGCCAACCCCATCCTTGGAAGACATGTTTCCACACTCTCCACTGGGCCATGCACTGTGGGGTCAGGGCTTGGCTGGGGGGTGGACAGACCTCAACGCAAGGCCCAATTTTTGTCCCTTTCCCATGATTAGTCATTAACTCTGTGTTCCTACTTTACTGGGCCTCAGTTTCCTCATCTGTGAAACGGAATGATACTATCATCTACCTCATAAAATTGTGAGGATGCAACAAAATGATGGTTTTTAGATTTTATTTATTTATTTATTTACTTATTTATTTGTGAGAGAGAGCCTGAGATTTGGGGAGGAACAGAGGGGAAGGGCAAGGGAGGGGAAACAATCTTCAGCAGACTCCACACTGAATATGGAGCCCCCATGCGGGGCTTGATCTCATGACCCTGAGATCGCAACCCTGAGATCATGACCCTAGGGTGGTGACCTGAGCAGAAACCAAGAGTCGGATGCTCAACCGACTGCGCCACCAGGTGCCCCAAAATGATGGTTTTTTAGGCTCATAGCGCAGTACCTGACATACCGTTGTGCTCAATAATTAGAAGTTGTTTCAAGAATAGCAGTTTCACGGGGCGCCTGAGTGGCTCAGTGGGTTAAGGCCCCTGCCTTCGGCTCAGGTTATGATCCCAGGGTCCTGGGATCGAGCCCGCATCGGGCTTTCTGCTCAGCGGGGAGCCTGCTTCCCCCTCGCTCTCTGCCTGCCTCTCTGCCTACTTGTGATCTCTGTCTGTCAAATAAATAAATAAAATCTTAAAAAAAAAAAGAAAAAGAGAAAAAGAATAGCAGTTTCACACTTACCTTCTTTCCTACCTTGTCCACATTGTCTCACTCACTCTCTTCCTCTGTCTATAAGTATGTTTTCTCTCTCTCTCATACTGTTATTTCTTTCTCCCTTCATCTCTCTCTGAAAGTATTCTTCCTGCCCCTTCCCTTTCCCCCTCCATCTCTTCCCTTCTCCTCTCTCTCTCTCACTTGCACACACAAACCCTAAGCCTATGTATCTGCATTTGTGCGAAGGGGAAATGCAGTCTCCTCCCATTGTGATCCAAGGAAGTCATCTATCAGATAGACATTCTGTCAGTAAACCTTGCAGCCATCATCTATGAAGAGCCTATTTTATGCAGGAACAATTCTAGGTTCTAGGCACTCGGAAATTAACAAGACTGACAAAGCAGTCATCATGAAGCATATACTGTGGGTGGAGGAAAACAGGTAATACTCACATGGACAGAGAAAGAAATAAAAATCGTACCAGGTTGTGAAAGGTGTTAAAAGGGAACCAGAACAGGGTAATGGCCTGAGAGTCATGGGCAGGGAAGAGCGTTCAGGAGCTGGGGTCCTCAGGGGTGATAGGTGATAGGTGATCGATCAGTGGAGGCAGCCACTGGACAGTCTTGGGGAGATCCTGCTAAATAGAAGGAATAACCCAGGGAAAGCCCTGGAGGCAGGAATGAGTTTGGTGTGCCCAAACGGCAGGGAGGTGACCAGAAGGTGACCAGAAGGACCGAACACCAAGGAGCGTTCAAGGTCTCAATGGAGCCTTGGGAATAAGAGAGGAGTTGGAATCTTATTTTAATAGCAGTGGGAAGCCCCTGCAGAAAAATGACATGGTCTGATTTAGACTTTAAAAATATCACCTTGGTAACTCAGTGCAAGGAGGCAAGAGTGAGAACACAAGGGCTATTTATGAAGCGTTACTGCAGCCTTTAAGGTGAGACATGGGGGCAACAGGTAGGTGGGCAGCGGTGGCCACATGCAGGCATCATGGTAAAGACAGATTTTACAGTGCCTGCTGATACACTAGATGAGGGATGTGGGGGAAAGAGAAAATCAAGGTTGCCTCCAAGGCTCTGACCTATTCTCTTCATGTCACTAGGGACACCATGACCAAAAAGGAGTGTTTATCAGTGGTCTAAATTGTGCTGAGAAAGAAAACAGTTGTCCCAAACATGGTGCTTTTTGTGTTACATAATGCATAATCTCCTTCCAGGAAGAAATTCACATTTCTGATAAACATGCTTAAGCAATATTTCCGATGAACTTAAAGGGATTAAAACTTGTTCTAGGAAACTAGACACCCACCCACTCTGCTGCCACGCAAGTGTATACTGACCTTTCACCCTTCTTTTCTTTCGTTCCTTTTTTTTTTTTTTCCTGGTCTTTCTGTATAAAATTTCCTCGCCAACAATGAATCTTTGACTTGACCTATTGGAAGCCTTTTCCATTTCAACCAGATTGTAATAAAAATTTGAACATGCTCATGACTAAGTGGTCAGAAAGATTTATTTTGGAAAATTCTTCTCATAAACACCTTCCGTGGGAAAATAAGAGAATTAAAAATCAAATCAAAAGCCCAATATTAAGTGGGAAAAAAACCAACAACCAATATTTGGTAACTGAATTATTAAAATGAAGTTCAGTGATGATAGATTTTACTTAATGGCTAAACTCTGGACTTCATGAGATTACTGTGGACATACCTTAAAGTTTCTTCATTAAGATCGCAACAAACATGGGGTGCCTGGGTGACTCAGTGGGTTAAGCCTCTGCCTTCAGCTCAGGTCATGATCCCAGGGTCCTGGGATCGAGCCCCGCATCGGGTTCCCTGCTTAGCGGGGAGCCTGCTTCTCCCCTCTTTCTGCCTGCCTCTCTGCCTACTTGTGATCTCTCTGTCAAATAAATAAAATCTAAAAAAAAAAAAAAAAAGATTGCAACAAACAGGTGCTTGATAGCTCAGTCTGTTAAGAGTCCGGCTCTTGGTTTCAGCTCAGGTCATGATCTCAGGGTCATGAAGCCTAGCCCCATGTCTGGCTCTGCACTAACGAAGGAGTTGGCTTGAGATTCTCTTGTTCCCTCTTCTTTCGCCCCCTCCCCACCACGGGCTTGCATGCATGTGCACGCTCGCGCTCGCTCTCTCTCTCTCTCAAATAAATAAATCTTAAAATAAGTTGCAACAAATACAAAAAATATGGAGAATTCAGTGTTTTAATGCAGTAGATTTCAAGTCTCTAGTTATGCCTTGCTTTTCTTCAGCAAGAGCCTACTATATAGAAAATATGTTGTTCTTGAAGACACATTCTGATCTTAAATTTTAAGAGCTTTAAGGACCCAAATAAATCATTTTTTTTTTTTAAGAGGGAAAGAAACTGAGGCCCAGGGAAGGTAAGTAATTGCCTGGGATTGCACAGGATTGAATCAGGTGTTGCATCTCCTTCCAATGTCTAACCCATGCCGGCATGCTTAATTCCCTGTTTCATTCTTTAGTAAATGTTGTTTGCATCGTAAATGGCATTTCAGTCACTAAATGATTTTCTATCATTTAAAAAATCCTTTTTCAGTTTCCCTTTCAAGACAATCTCTTTCAATCCATGTATTACCCGCTCCAGCTGAAGTTTTTGGAGACTGTGCACACTTTATGTGGACGAATCCCACAAGTGTTTTTGAAGCAAATCGAGAAAACAATGAAAAGGGCTTATGAGAAACACGTCATCATCCATGTGGGCCCCAACCAGATGCACTGAATATTTTTCATGTTGTCGCAAATGGATTAGGCCTCTCGGGAACAAGGCGACGTTCATCTTTAAGCTGCCTGGATCTCTTTCGTGTGAATATTTAATGGTGCTCTGTGACAGTTGAGTTTAAAAGGCCTCATTACATGTTGCTCATTTCGTTGCCCCTAAAAGGAAATATGCTTTAATTTTTTTTTAATTGCTATTTATCTCTTTGGGTTTTTTTTTAGTTGTATTATTACTCACTTCATATTGTTCAAGCAGGTGGAGCTAGCTGTGAAAAGGAATTTTGTGAGCCTTCCAATGCCTGTTAAACGTCTGAGACCACATCAGTGCCATCTCCTGTTGTATATTAATCTAGTATCCTTGAGACTCTTCCTATGCAATAGACACCCCCATATTCTTGTTATAACAGGAATCTATGCTTGTTGTACAACAGAGAATGTTAAATATTTGTAGGGGTGGGTGCCTGGGTGGCTCAGAGGGTTAAAGCCTCTGCCTTCAGCTCAGGTCATGATCCCAGAGTCCTGGGATCGAGCCCCGCATCGGGCTCTCTGCTCAGCAGGGAGCCGGCTTGCCCCTCTCTCTCTGCCTGCCTCTCTGCCTGCTTGTGATCTCTCTCTGTGTGTCAAATAGATAAATAAAATCTTTAAAAAAATTTGTAGGGAATACAGGTCCATGGACCAAAATCAAAATTAGATTAGCCATAATCCTACCAACCAGTGAAAAGATTGTTATTTCAATGGGGGGTTGCTTCCAGCCTTTTCTCCCTACTTCTATATTTATTCGCTGGTTGTCTTTTCCATTGTAATACATATGTGAAACAGTAGTTGAGTGAAAGCTGGCACCTGCTCTGAGATTTTTCTGTAGAGATGAAAATTTAGAGAAAATGATTATGTTTACAGTGCTTTATTTAAAATACGTCTGGCAGAGTTATTCAGATTTCTGCTGATTGGCAGTGTTAAAGGATGAGGCATATCTGGGGTTGTTTTTTTAAGAAAAGTTGTTTAGATTAGCGGAAGATTAAATCATAAGAAATATTTATGCAACCATACCTTCTGAAAGGAAATTCAATAATTGTGCTAAACCCAAGGGGTCACCTTAACAGAGATGTGATTTTGTGTTTGCCCACAGACAAAAACATTTTATCTCTTACCCTAGTAAGGGTGACCTTCTCTCTTCTTTAAACTCTTGGGCAACAGGTGAAAATTAAAGGCCAACTTCAAACTCATGTGTACAGAATAGATAGTTCAGCTGATTCCACTGACAAAAAATTTCACCTTCATACCAGCCTTAGAAAGGGCCCTTTAAATAATTTTCCTTCTCTAGGGTTACCCGGCTGTTAGCCAAGGAACCAGGCAGGTCTTATCACCTAGCTACAGTAGAGGAAATTCTATATTCCCCCAAGGGAGCTGACTTAATCCCTAGTTGCACCTGTAGCTGGTATCAGGGTAAGAGCATTTTGCATAAGGCTTTATTCATCTCAGAAAACTTGTGCAGAAATGATCTTGATGTTCACAACAGCCTAATGGTCTTAGGTCTTCTTCTTACAAAGAAACAAGGACACCCAATATAATTGCTGTTCTGTAAGACATACAGTTAACATAACATACAGGGTAACACGAATCCTGTATTGCAGACAAATTTTTGGAAATAAAAATATTAAATGCTTTTCATCATATATAGACAGTGGTAAAGATAAGTACAAATAGATAAAGATAGATAAAGATTAAAAGATAAAGAAAAGTATAAAATGAAAAATAATATTTTGTTAGTGCAAATGTGGTATTCTATGTACTGGAACCCAGTTCGATGTCATGGATACTATATCCACAGAAAAAGTCTTACGCTGAAAAATATATGAAAATCTCAGCACTCCAAAGAAATATATAGATATAATGAATATTGGTATACAGCACCATTATGGTAATAACAAATTCTGAAATGTTAGAGCAATGACCCATACTTTCGTTTCGATCAGTTTGATGGCCTGTGATTTGTTATTTTTGTTAAGGAAATTACCATTATGATGTAGAACTCTTCACTGTTATATTTTCTGCTTCCTCATTTCACCATTAAAGGTGATGTCATTTATTATTTTATATCTAAAGGCCTTGGGGCAATTTTTGGATTGTCTTTTGGATGGGAGAGAAAGCATCCTACATACCCACAAATGGGGTTTTAATGAAAGAGCCAGAATTCCCGGACTTCTGTTCCAGTCTTCCTACTTGTTCAGCATGGCCAGTAAACCCAACAAATGTCATTCAGATTTGTTGATGACTTACCAACCTAAAGAAGTTCCTTTCCTCCTTCGGTGAGTTCCACAAAAATTCTGCTGTAAAGGCTTTGAATTCTGCAATACCTTTTCTTTTATCAGAATCTGGTTTACCCAATAGTCTTGACTATTGGTTCTGGTCTAAATACCCAGAATCGAATTTCTAACAAAGGTCCATGAGAGAATTCTAGAACATTCTAGAATGATGCATTATGAGAACGTGAAACTTTAGAATTTGGTATGCTTTCCTGCCTTGGAATTTCTTCATGCTATCCTGAAATTTGAGGTGAGTTTGGTGGAGAATTTGAACATTTGCTGTTCCAATCTCTGCTGCCTGAAAGTGCTAATTATTTTCTATTTGGTATGTTACCATGAGGCAGTATTTTCTCTGCCTTTGATAATTTTCAGACAACTATGACATTAGCACCTTAGAAATCTGGGAACTGTAAATTTCAATTCAGTGACTCCTAAATCATGCAGTCTATGGTCTGAAGTTTGCCAAAGGTTGTGTTGCTCCATATGGCACGTTGTATCTGTATTGGGAAGAGCATGAGACTGGTTCTCTATCTCCTCTTCTTGTTTCCTTCAGAATTCTGGTCAATGCATGTGACTACAGAGTTCCACTGAAGAATGAAAGAACACTTGCCAATAGAAAAATGTATTTTTGTATGTATTGAGAGTGAGACTTTCTATAGTAGGGTCACTATTCTTATAATATTTTTCTTGCTGAGTTTTTCTCCAATACAAATCTCAAAAATTGTGACTTACATTAAAAATTTCAATGTTTAAAAAAATTAACTGGCTAGAAAATCTGTTTAAGTTTTCCTTCAACTTCCTGAATGACAATTTAGCATTTAGGGGAGAACACTCCAGCTTCACTGTTTATTTGAAGTCTCTGTTACATAGTGCTTCCATTGTGACTTGTTGTGACTATGACTGGATTTATCATCAAAATGGATGTTTATATGGACTCATCAAGGTTTGAGAGTATTTATCTTATTACCCCTACGGTGTTCATAAAACAAGCCAGCCATACAAGACTTTACTGATGTCACGAAATAGTGATCCAGTAGTAGAATAATCCCTCCACCCACCCAGAAGAGAGGACAACATTCACAGAAATTTAGATTTATGTATAACTGTTGCCCAATATTTATACAATAAAAAAAGATAGATTGCACATGTTGGGTGAACCACCGTGAACATGATTTCATGACTGAAAAATGTTGGATGTCATGGGGATACAAATTATTTTATCCTCACTGAATGGTATGGTAGGCAAGCTTTCTTAGGTTTTTCTGTTTCTTGGGTCCTATTCTTTTATTTTCCTTTTTTTCATTTTTGCCTTTCCCTTCCTGTCTTTGATGTAAGCTACTGAGTAGTACCAAGAGGCTTGGCATTAATGATGGATGACAGAACTCGGGGATCCCTCCACAGGTTAAAGGAAGTTCTGATCCTTAGATGGAATCTTTATGATAAGAACTTCGCAAAAATTTTTTTAAATCACACAACCCATACATAGATCACACACACACACACACACACACACACACACACACCCTACATGCCTTTTAAGGAAAGAGCCCTGGGAATCTGTCGTGCTCTGTGAATTGAAGAATTCTAGACAGTGACATCTTAGGTCAACTCATTTCACAGCTGCAGGGCTGGTGTTTGAAGCTGATGAGATTTCGCTGTCGAACAGAGAAAGTTATCCTAGTTTCTGTTCTTCACAGGTTAAAGCTGGAAATACTCTCTTGAGTCCTCAAGATTAAGCATGTATGTGTGTGCATGTAACCATCTGAACGAACATGTAAGAGTCAGTGTGGTTTCTGCATCATTAGGTTTACACGTTTGTGTTGTCACTGAAAAGTGCACCATTGTTTATTGCTCCCAAGGAGACCCTGTGTGGATTTTTATATGTTGGAAAACTTATTTTTTAGGAATTTTTCTTTGGGAAGAAATGAGCATAAAAAAACAATACTTCAAAGAAAATGAATTGTTACAGCATTTAAAAGAAACAGAAATGTTATGATTTAATTACTTGTCTTTTTGAAAGCCATCTCCTGTTTTATCCTTTTTTTAAATTAAAAGCTTTAAAAAAAGACATGTCTTTTGGTGTTATTTTGGAAGTGTGTTTCTCTTCTCATGAGATTTCAAGTTTGCAATTTTATAATATAAAATAGTAATATTTAAGTCCTTCCTCTTAAGAACTGATAAAGAAATATTTGGTTTAGTAAGTAGCTTAGCCTATTTTTAAAAGTCATTAAAACTTTGCTTTGTTTTTAAAAATGCCGTACTATAGCAGTACCTGGCTGGCTCAGTCAGTAGAGCACGAGACTACTGATCCCAGTGTTGTGAGTTCAAGTCGCATAAAATTCAAAACAAAAATTTTTAATGCCATACTATAAATCATACGTTGTTTGGTTTCAGGGATATTTTTATGTTTGAGGTACAATGAGAATTTGGAGGATGTGAAAATCAGTTCTTCCCATTCCTACATGTTATTTGGCAGATTAAAATGGAATTGTTAAGCTAATAACACATATCAAAAATAACTGAAGAGTGCCAAGAGTTTTGAGTCTATACAAAGGCTTTTCACCCAATCCCTGGTCTCTTTAAAATCAGCACAAGATACTCCATGCATCCACTAAGTTCCCTCCTTATATATTTTTTTTAAAGATTTTATTTATTTGGCAAAGAAAGACCATAAGAGAGGGAACACAGACATGGGGAGTGGGAGAGGGAGAAGCAGGCTTCCCGTCCAGCAGGGAACCTGATGCAGGACTCGATTCCAGGCCCCTGGGATCATGACCCAAGCCGAAGGCAGACGCTCAACGACTGAGCCACCCAGGCGCCCCTCCTTATATTTTAAAACATTTTAAAATGCTAAGATACTTGGATATGGTTTTCTGGAATAACTGGGAACCCACATCCAATTACTAAGACATATAAGCTTCAGGACCCACATGTAGACAATATTGAATTTAAGTCCTAGCCACCCCCCCCAATCCTTACTGACCCGCTTTCCACTTCAGACTTCCCACCTACAATGGCAGGGCTGGGGAAGACCCTCCTCCTGGATTGTGGTAAGGAATAAACAGAAACATGGAATTTCAAATTTTTAAAAATTCCTTGTTGTGGTCCTCTAACTCCACTAAGTAAATGGCTAACTCATTTTTAAGGGGTATCAGAATGAAGGAATGGCAA